CCGTACTTAGAAATTAATCAGCTTTACGAATCACATCTTTAACTTCAGCGGGATTTCAACAAGCTTGAAAACAATCTATTGTGTGTGGTCCTGATGTTCATGGGCGAGGATGGTGAAAAACCCAAGTGCAGCCTTGCTTGGAGTGGGAGCATCTACATGATCATACCAGTAATACATATGCATGTAGGTATACATATCTTCACTGCAAACCAGCCTTTTGGCACTGAGATCCACTGTTTCCAAGTAATATAGGTGGACTGCAGCTAAATTTCTGCCTAAGAATACCAAGATTTCCATAACATGTCTCTCACTCATGGTCCCCTCACCTTCTCTGGATCTCCTGGACAGGTGCAAGAGACATGCAGTAAATGAACACACTTTCAGGAAACTGTATACATCCACACTTTTTGAGGACTCACTCCAGCATGGTGTTGAAGAAAACAAGGATTAACTTCACTGAAATCAATGTCAAGGAAATCAATGGACAAAACAGTAGCTGTTGTGGGAAAATGGAATTTCATTTAGTGCTCTCCAAATTAGAAGTGTAAGATTAAAGATGAAACTCCAAATTATCCCTGGCTGTCAGGTTCTAATCTGAACATACAAACCCTCAAGATTTCTTTAGGTACAGGAGAATTGCCACTAAAGCAAATTAAAGGCACTGCTTTTTCAGAAGAAAAGCTGTCAATAGGTGTTCTCTAAATCACTTGTACCAGCTGGCTGACCCCATTATGTCAGCTAATCCTGAAAATACAGGAGGTAAATTTAAAGCTTTTCATATGAATTGTTTAGTCGATTTTTTGGGTTTTGTTTGTTTTGGCATAGCACTGGAAGTTTTATATTGCTGTCCATCTTTTACCCCAGTCTATAACTTTCTGTGTAGTTGTAATGCCCAGAGGAAGAGGTCCAAGCATGACTTTTCCAAGGGACAGAGTAGGCAGGGTATTTGAAAGCATAGTGCTTGTTTATCACAGAAAAGAAAAAGAAAGATCACACAGGCTGTGTGAAGGGATGGAGGAAAGAAGGTGCCAGGCACATGGGTGACTTAATACTGGTGCTCAGGGGATAAAACAAGTTCCCTTTGTCTCTACTCCAGTGCACCATCTCAGCAGTTGTACTATTCCCTCATCAACAGCACACCTACATCTGCCTGTTTCCTGCTTATGTTCACCCACCACCCAATTACCAGCTCAGGAAGATCCATACCTGCTGTGCCTTGATCCTCAGAATGCTACGCTGAAGCTTTTAACCCTCTCCAAACACCTACATAATGCTTTATAATAATAATAATATTTAGCACATGAGAAGGTACATTAAATAATTATAGATGGTACTTAAACCACCAGATTAGCAGATCCTCGCACAGTGCTGAAGATCTGCAACACAGATCTACAAGGGAAAAGCACAGTCATTTTCAGTCTGAGTCATATTTAAGTCCTGCTTTCCTCAGCGGACTGTGAACTCTCTCTCCTGTTTTTGTCTTAAGACTCTCCATTATAGATATTTTTTTTTAAATCCCAAGTATTATGTGAATTTGTGGGAGAACAGCTTGCCATATGACCCACATCTGTTATAAACACCCACTAATCTTACATGCAAATAGAAAGAATTGCCACATTTAAATATCTAGATTTCTCTTTTCCTTTGTTCCCACAAATTGTTTGAGGTTTTCAGTTTATATCTAATAGGTTTTAAATTTTGTTGCTGAGAGTAAACAAAATTTACATACTGGACTTGATTGAAAGTGCTTGCTTTCAGTCCAAAGGGCCATGTATGTCAATTACATGTGTGCACTGCTGTGGTCTTCAAAAGCACAAAACCCTTAAATTCTCTTTGAATGCTGAACTAACGTTAACTAGAGCAAGGCATTTATAATAAATGTGGGAAAACAAAGCACAGAGCAAGCTAGTGAGCTGATACATTTCGATGCATAAACTTACTTAAATGTCCTTAACCATCTTGACTTCTATCATTTTTGTCTTCTGCAAAATGTCCTCTGAAATATTACAGAAAACCCAGTATGGAAGTCCTAGTTTTTTATTTATCCCTGCAATGACCCAGGAATAAAGGGTCCAATCTAGTCTAATCTATCACTTGAGGTTTATTTCATTATCATCATTCAGGTCTATGTATCTCTCCTAAATGCAGAAGCAGCCTTTTTCTTGAAGAATACATGGTGTGAGTACACATCCAACCTCATTCTTTTGTCCCTTTCAAATAATCCAACATGATGGTTCAGGCGGTGGGGGTAGAACAAGAGACTGAAAGACCATAACCATTCTTTGACTGGCATACTGAATGCAAGTTATGACTAAAAATGAGGGATTAACATATATGTCAGTTAAACAGCAAACATTAGAGTGAAGCTATCAGAAAAAATATCCTGACGGCACTTACTTAATAAAATATGCCTGTATAAGGAGCACGCTGTTGGCATTCATCTCTTCTTTTGTTCACAATACTTTATACATTATTTTTCTGTAGAGTTGAGGATCCTTTTCAAGATGTCAAGCATCTCAAATATACTTTACTTGAGCATTCTGTATAAAACTAACTACTATTTACTCTCTGGGTTTAGCAAACTTTGTAAGAGAGTTAACAGGATGCTTGACAAAATTAAGCATCTTCCTTGCAAAGATGGAGTGTTGATTTAATTTAGGGATAGAAGAAGGAGCATATTACACAATGCAAGCATATGTAAACATAAAGTAAGCATACAGCAGAAACAAACATTTTTCTGTATTAATTTGAAATAAGAAAATACTCCATAATAGGAGAACTGCAAATTCTCACAGCAATGGTAAGTTGAAATTATGAACAACTTCTAAACATCATCACTGAAACAAACATAATTTAGAAGTCCAGATCTTCAAAAGGTATTTGAAATAAATATTGAGTAGAGGTAAACAAAGAGAATCTCATATTTTCTTTAAGCATTCACAACCCTCCCAATTCCCAGGTTTGCATTTGCAGAACATGGCACAGTGACAAAATGATCAGTTCACCCTTGCTTTTCACACAACCATTTTGAACAAGTCAGAAAGAAATGTATCAAAAATTGCTCAGTCAGTGACGCTTCTGGCAAACTGGGTTAGTGCCGTGTATTTGAAAACCCTGGGAGGTTAGAATTTGTTCATTTCTATGGCATATTTTCTAATCAATCACTTCCTGCTCTTTCTTCCCTCACTGTATTTATTTCAATGGCAATTTATACTAATCAACCACTTCCTGCTCTTTCTTCCTTCACTGTATTTTTACATCTACTAAATAGAATATGCAGCCTTGTAGCATCTCAGTGATCATCTCCTTATCCCCTCTTGGCCATTGTCTTTTTGTGTTGAGACTAATGCTTTTAATTTGTCTTTCCACAGTGTTTAGGCTATACTGCCTTTTCAAAACCTTTCAGCTAAACTGCTAACTGCATAAAAAAACCCTTCACATTGCTTTCGGTTGCACTAGTTCATGTTTTGAAAATACTACAAAGCATATTTTTCATGGGAGGAGAGCCTTGGAATGAATACCCTTCTCCAAATGTCATATGAATGCCTCACTTGTTTTGTAAAATTTGCATTAAGGTTTAAGTCTCACATTCAAAGTGGCACCATACTGTCCAAAAAACACAGGTTTCTTTTTAAAAAATTGTGGGCTTGTTTTGGCTCTATTCGTAAGTTGGTTTTTTGAGAAATACATTAAAATATTAGAGCTTTGTTCTTTGTGTTTTAGTTCTGACAGAAGGAAATAGTAAGCAGAAGAATGTTGTACTTCACAGGAATAAAACTGCTTGATTCACGTAACTTTGGTGACCTTTTAGTGCAGACTTATCTATAGTTTCTACAAAACAGCAGAGATCGTTTATTTGAAGGAAGCTGCTTTCCCTACAGACCTTTACTTCTCGTGTCAAGTACATCAGGGGTACACTTGAAGTCACA